CAGGGGAAGGGGTGGAACCTGGGACACAGAGGTGGTGTGGATGTGGGCACGTCACCCAGCAAAGAGAAGTCAAGCAGGGTGGGAGCCGTTGGGACGACTAGAAAATGTCACCTCTTGAACTCTTCCCTGCACACTCTTGGACAAGCAGTGCCCCCAGCTCAACACCGACACTGAAAGTGCACAGGCCAGGCAAGTCTCAGTCTAGGAGGACAGACAGCTGCCCCTGGAGACAAGGCAGGAAGCAGAGACCAGGTCAGGACACTGGAATGGACGGAGTCCCTTACCCAACGAGGCTATGATGGCGAAGTTCTCCAGCATCACATCGCTGTACAGCATCTTCTGAGCTTCATCGAGGAGCCCCCACTCCTCCTGGGAGAAGTAAATGGCCACATCCTCAAAGGTCACACCGCCCTGTTGTAGGGGGACAACAGATTATTCCATAATTAGCTTCTCTCCTAGGACCCCAAGCCCCAACCCATCCCCTGGTCACCTTCCTCCCCAGTCTACTTGAGAATAGGCACCAGCCCGGGGGGCAGTGACTCCCACTCTTCCCTCACGGTCCCATCTGTTGCTGTGTCAGCTTACAGCACGACGAGGCAGGGGGGCAGACGGATGAGACCTCCGCTGTGGGTTTCGCACTGGGGTCACACAGTCATCCTCTTGTAAGGTATTCCTTGTGAGGTCCCTGGGATCATGCCTCTGGTCACAACCAAATAAAGGCTTAACCTTCACCCTTGGGTCCCTAGTACAAAGCCCAGGCCATCAGTTCACAGGTTACCCCACATGCACCCTACTCTTTGTTACAAACTTTTCCCCCTAACCCCTACCTCACATGGGAGGCACCTTCTGGGCTTCCCCACACGTCACTGCACATGACACCCCGGATCCACATTTTCAATGACTTATGAAGACATCCCTTCCCAACTCCCACTCCTGCCTTAACGTCAGCTGACTAGAACCGCCTGTGGTTCTAGAGCCACCATTTGTGACGTTTGCTGCCTCTCACCGCCCAAAGCCTTCCTCTACCACCTCTCACTACCCAAGCCACACCATAGGTCAGCTCCCGGACACCTGTACCCTAATCCTCAGTGATGTTCCCAGAGACCTCGGGCCTGGGCTGATCTCTCAGCCTGACACTCATGTGTTCACAGAGCGTTCTATTCCTGCTTCCACTGGCTCAGTCTCCACGTGTGTCACATGCCCGCCCTTCCTGAAGAAGTCTTGCCCACGGTCTTAGTGAATGCCGTTGTAACAGAAAAACCACAAGCGGTGGCTTTCGTGAACAGAAACGTATTTTTCACAGTTCACGATGCTCTCAATTAGAGCAGTATGTCGCTCGGGAGGGAGCTTTCGCTCTGTCAACTCGATGAGGAAATCCTGATGTTCCTTGTTTCTTGCCTATCTCCGTGTGCTGACTTCAGTAAAAAAAATTTTTTTAAAATCCAGGTGGGAACTAAGTAAGAAAGCACTGCTCTAAAATCATAGAAACACAGATATACCCAAATGGGAAGCTATTGTTTTTCATCATATCCTCCACACAGGTCGACATTTCTCTGCCCTTCCCTGGAGAAGTCTGTGCGCCTCACTTGGCACCGTCAAAAGGATGGCTTGGCACCTCGGGGCCCACAGACGCGCTCCTTTTACATAGCCTTTGAGTCTGGGGGACTTGAAGGAGCCAGATCAGGGTTGTACGGTGGATAGGGAAGGGTCCCCAACAAAATTCTTATAGCACTGCCCTCGGAGAATGAGCAGGTGCACCCTCAGGATGGCGAGATCCTTAACAAAACTTCCCTGGCCTTGTCCTCACCAAGCAGTCTTCCGTTTTCTTAACACTTCTTCCCAATGATGCCCTGTGGTCATCCAGTGTTCCTGGGGAGGAGCTACGCGCAGTGCTGCTGTGAGCGCTGTCCAGGCAGTTCCGACTCATAGCGGCCCTTTGCCCAACACAACTACATGCTGGGCAGTCCTGCAGCCTCCTCCCAATTATCCTAATGTTTGAGCCAACTGGTGCAGCCACTGTGACAACTCATCTCTTGAGAAAGAAAACCAAACGCACAGCCTCTCTGTGAGTCGATGCCGACTGGGGAACCCTATAGAACAGGGTAGAACTGCCCCTGTGAGTTTCCAAGACTGTAACTCTTTACAAGAGTAGAAAGCACTGTTTGTTTGTTTTTTCTAGTTTTGAACTGCTGACCTTGCAGTTAGCAGTCCAAGTAGTAAGGTCTATGCCACCAGGGCTCCTCCCTACACTCCTTGGGTCTCATTCATACCACCACAACAACAAGCCTATTTCTAAGTGGGATTACATCCATCAAGGGTAAGGGAATCAGGACTCAAACACACATTTTGAGTGGGACAATTCGATCCACCAGCCACCTGCCAGAGCACCTTCTCCCACAGTCCTCCCATAGCCCCTTCTCGACTACATCTCTGTTTGTGATGCACACTAACTGCACCCGGGGCCCCAGCCAGAAACCTAGTCCTGGGTTCCCCCCTACACACACACACACACACACACCTTCCCCTTTTCATTTTGCTAGTAGCATGCACCAGGACCAGAATTCCCTTTCCTAAAAGTGACCTCCAGGTCCATCCTGTGTACACACTGCCAACCCACCATCTTCTGAAGATGTCCCCATTTTGAATTCCTCCCTGGAGTCCCCGATCTGTGTGTCCAGTTGCCCACTGGATGCTTCCACACGTTCGCCCCATTACTCCTGGACATGGTCCAAACAAAGTTCCTGAGATCTCCGATCAAAATCCCTCCTACTACCGACTCCCCTTCCAAGTCAACAGCCCTTCAATCCTTCCACCCACTGAAACTACAAGCCATGGGGATATTCTGACTCCTATTCTTGTCCCTGTGGCATTCAAAATGTGAAAATCCAGGCTGATCTATGTAAAAGATAGGCTGACGTTTTCATCAACCAAGTGAAGGGATTAACCTAAAGAGAGGGAGAAAGTGTTAAGAACCATCGCAAAGAGAAGAGCAGTAGGCTAGCATCTCTCTACCTTCCCTTCTACAGTGTACCAACAAAAATACACACAGATCTATTTTCTGCCATTGTTGACAGTTCTGATAGGGGTACCAATAAACGGACCTTCATAAAATGGGAGAAAAGGACCAAACAAAACCGAAAACAGCAACAATAACAAAACAGCCTTACTGACCTGGCCAAGGCTGGAGAACTTTTTGACACTACTGCCCGGAGAGAATCTTAAACCTGGAGCCAGCAGCAGTAGTAGTGGCCCAGGTCACCTTTTTAGCTAAATCAGATTGGCTCACACAATAAAGCATATCACAGTGGGAACAGTGATGTTTTAAAAACAATAGTAATTTGGGACCAAATGCTAATAATTACTTTTTTAACAAGATGCTACTTGTAAGAGGACGAGGAAACACTATAAACGGAGATGAAATGTCCAGAATGGAAACACGGAGAATGGCCACACATTGTGAAGAAAGCCACTGTCATCGAGCCCGCTGGGTGTAAACCTTCACCGAAAGCTCAGTATAAAAATTTTTTTAAACTGGAAAACAATCCTGAACTGATATTTCTTCAAAGAGGCTGTTCAAAGGGATACACAGAACATGCCTGTGTCACTAGCCAGAAATAAAGGTGCCTTCGATCAAAACCACAGTGAGAAAAATTCGCTCACCCTCATTACAATGACAATCACAAAACACTTAAAGGCAGAACAACAGTTGTTGGCCAGGTTGTGGATTAGCTGGGAGCCTCAGCTGTTGGTGCTGCAAATGGAAACGGGGCCTACACTCCAGCAAACAGTCCAGCAGTGCCCCCCAAATGAACCACACAATGACCATATGGCCCGGCAATCCAGAGCCTGGGGATTTCCCGGGTGAGAGAAAAGAATTCAAACAGAAACCTGGACAATATTCACGGCAGCCCTTTTCACAACGAGCCAAAAGGCAGACGCGGCTGAAGTGTCCGTCAACAAATGACAGGACACACAATACAGTGGAAGACTGCCCAGCCATAAATAGAAACGAAGTCCTGACGCATGGCAGACGCGAATGAGTGTGGAAACTGTCATGCGGAGAGAAATAAACCAGTCACAAAAGGGCAGTGTGTGATTGGACATATGAACCAAACTCCCTGCCATCGAGGCAATGCGGACTCATTAGCGACCCTGTGAGACAGAGTAGAACTGCCTATGTGGGCTGCAAAAGAGTGGGACTCTTGAGGGGAGTAGAAAGTACCGTCTTTCTCCTGAGGAGTGGCTGGTGGTTTCGAACTGCTGACCTTGCAGTTGCCCGATGCATATGTATGTATTATATTAACTATATCACATATATCATACACAATATATCAAAGGTTACTAACGGTTAGCAGGCTGGGCAGGGCAGAAAGGGGGAAACCTAGATTAGAGGCATTGAATGCATGTTCCTAGTGGAATGAGGTGTAACGGGGAGAGTGAGTGCCTAAGTTCAAGAACATAGAAACTGAGTGAGTCTGTGCTTTGTTACCTACAATTTCAGCACAATAAAAAAGAGAGAGATCTAGAATCCCAGCGTTCGGACCATACCCATGGACACCACAAGGTCCAGCCACCATCATCAACAGACCTGCTCTTCCTGACCCCTCATACCCACTGTCTTGTCTCCATGCCACAGTCCTGTGGAGTCTGATGAGACCTGAGTCAGACTACCTCTCATTGGCTCCAAACTCCCACTGCTCCCATCACCTCCAGAAAGGATGCCCAACTTCTTAGGAAAGCACGCCAGCCTGACTCCTGGTCCCTGCTCTCTGTACCGATGAAAAAGTAAACAGCTCTGTGGTACCTTGATAGGCCCAGCTCGGCCTGGCATCCATGTGTATGATCAGGTGTCTCTGCTGAGACAACATTGCGGACCTCGGTCCGCTAATGGAAACAACTGGAACCACGCCAGGGAGTCCTTCCCCTGCACTGTAAATTTTGGGGTGTGCTCAGGGTCCCTAGCTTCAAAGGCTAGCGGGGTGGGAGGTGCACAGTTCCAGGGCACAAAATTCCAGAGACTAATGTGGGTGGATCCAGGATCCGTGAGGCTTCCGCGCGGCATGTCTGCAGCCTGGAAGCGGTGGGAGGAGGGAGCTACCTTAGGCAGGTGACCATGGGTTCAAGCCTTCTTGTAGGCGGGAGATCTCCAGATCTCTGCATTCTCTTTGGTCCTCAGGGCGGCTCGGACCAAGCCTTGTGACCTTGGGGGACTCAACTTCCCTGCACCTCACCGTCATGACCCCCTTTCCAGTGTGTTCTGCGTTTCATCGGGGTGTGGGTGTGTGTGTGTGTGCGCGCGCGCGTTTGCTTTGAACCCCTGCCCTAGAGCTCCCAACCCCCCTCCCCAAGTAAACCCCACTGTCCTCGGAACGTAAGCACAGCCCAGCCGGCCGTGCAGACGCGTTCCCTAACCTTCTGCACAGGGGCGCACCTGCAGCCTTGACCCTGATGTTCCCTCGGCCGGGGCCTCTCCCCCACCCCTCATCACCCCAGTCCTCAGGAAATGGGGTCCCCGCCAGGAGCGCGCCCTACTACGGCGCCAAGGCCCGGGCTGGAGGAGGACGGGATGCGAGCTGGACGCGAGGCCTGCAGGACGCCCACTCACCCGAGCTCGGTCCGAGAGCGCGGCGGCCGCCATGGGGCTTCTGCGCGCAGCAGGCCGGGCGCAGGCCTGGGACCCCGACGCGGCGCTCCCACTCGGTCTCGCCTCGGGGTGGGTCACCCTGGAAGGCGCCGCCGCCTTGGCTCGGACCCGCCTTTGTGAGACCAGGACAACGCGTCCTCTCCGGGCTCCCGGTTACGTCACCATGGTACCCGCCCAGCAGGCTCGGGAGCTGCCACAAAGAAAGGGGACGCCGGAAGTCCCGCCCCCACGGCGATCGCAGGCCCTTTGCTGGGCTCCCATTGGCGGAGGCCGCTGCCAGCCATGGCCCAGACGTCTGGGTAATGCAGTTCCTGCAGCGGCCCCGGAGCAGGCGCTGGGCGGACGCCCCCGCCCCCGCCCCCACCCCGCCCCGGACGCCGCGCAACAAAGGCCCAGGGGCTCCGCGCAGGGCCCGGGAGAACGGTGCCGCCGGCCGGTCCGCGCAGCGCACGGCCCCTTCGGAGCCGCCCGGGCCGATCGCGGGGGTGGGAGCCGTGGCTTAGGTCCCTGGGAGCTCTCCGAGCTGCTCTCGCAGACGCCCCTCCCCTTGCATGACGATCTTCAGAGACTCAGACACCGGGCGTCGCCGCTCTCCTTTCAGGTGTTCAGAACCCTGCGCGGCAGTTCTGTGAGGTCTTGTAGGTGGAGTCAAGGGCAAGAAAAAGAGGCCCTGAAGGTCAGGTGGGAATGACAGCGAAGGGAGAAGAGGGGTGCGATCACCGTGAAGCAGGGGGACACGGGGCATTCTGCCTTTTCAACTCACAGAAAACTTGTCTCTTGCCTGTCAGTGATTGTGTACAACAAAATGAGAAATCATATATATATATATATATAAAGTTGACATATGTGTGTGTCACACAGACATACATTAGCTTCCATTGTGATTTGGGTAAGTGTGTGAAGCCAAATTGGTTTCCCATTAAACAATTCGGGAGCATTTTGATCTGTGGCATGGATTGCAATCTGCGTGATTAAACAGCACTATTCTCACTCCCTGCCTAGTTCCTGTTTTCCTTTGCTTGGCCAAGACAGAGGTCAGCCTCCTGCAGGGCCTGACTGCAGCAGCCATGAAGAAGCTGCCAAGGTCAAAGGATTGTATCCTGAATTGTTTCTGTGCTTCGAAGTTCCTCCTCATCCTGATCTGTAACCTCTAGCTGCCCTAATGAACTTCACCATCATGAGTGTGGGCTGCGAGCTCTGTATGGCCCTTGTCAAACCCAGCGGAGTGCTGTGAATGGGAAGGATGGGGTCTGCATTGATAAGAAGACTGGAGAACGGAGGGTGTGCCTGACCTCCACTTTATAGGCATCAACCAAATTGAGCTAATGCTGATTGTGATTCTTCCTCCTCCTGAAGTTAGGGGAGGTCTGACCATGCCATTTGTATACGTGCTGTGGGAATACATTAAAAACAGGGACTACAGGTCATGACTCCATGGATGCAGAGTAGAACTAACGGCCCCAGAGGATTTGCAAGACTGGGTCCTTTCAGAAGCAGATGACCAGGCCTGTGTTCTGAGATGAGCTTCAGCCACCAACCTTTCAGCTACTGTAGTCAAGAGCTTAACTGTTATCCCTATCCAGGGACCTGTGGGGAAACCAATTTGCATGAGATCCTAAGACTCTGTACATATGGAGCTGATAGGAAGTCGGCCCACAAGAACTCAGTGACCTCCCAGGAAGATGTGCAAAGGAGGCCAGCAGAACCTTTTCAGCCTCTTCCTTGGCCTTCCTGTCCCAATTCTTGAACTTCAGAGGAGAGAGATGATGTCCTCTTCTGGTTTGGGGGCTCTATGTTACATAGCTCAGGTCCTGGTCAGCATAAGATGCTGTGTCCTTGTGTCAACGATGAGTTCCAAACTTTTAGGGAAAACAGTATGTTTCCTACATCACAACACCAAGAGAATTTGAGCAGCACAGACACTCCAGGGCCTATAAAAAACCTCTGCATGACCCATAGACAAATTAGAATGTCAATATTTTTTCCAAAATAACTTTTGGATAATAAAGATTATCTTTTGTAATGAACTCAATAACGCATGCAGGAGCTTCAGAAAGTTCGTGGAAAAAGATCATTCAAAGATCACTGCACTTTTCCATGAACTTTTTGAAGTTCCCTCACCAGAGACATGAGGTCATTGGTGAGAGAATAGAGCACCCTATGTAGTTTCATGGATGTACCTGTATGTCAAAATTTGCCCACGTGCACCCTTTTTTTTTTTTCAGGCTTGAATTTTTTTATTTTATGTACAAATCGTTGGCATTGTTTCTTCTTTTGGGTAGCGGTCTTGGATTGTCCATCCAAAGATAACTTAGTCCAGCTTGATAAAGTCGATGTCCTTAGCGAAGTGACGGAAACACTGAC